CCGATGTAAAATTTCCATTTTGTTGCCATCTCCAAACCCTTACTTTGTTATGCATTGCAGGTGCATTTAATGTGCTGGTATATTGTAGAAATTTGGAATTGTCTCTTCACCGAGAGAAGGTTTCAGCCTTTTAACCTTTTGCCGTTTACTGCACGTTTCTCTCCTGAATTTATTCTGGCAGTGTCAGCAACAGGCTTGAGATGCTGTTAGTAGGAAACAAATGACACAAGATGTTCAGCACCTTTTGTCAGCCATCAGGATTTCCCTCCAGCCTTCTTTACTACTTTTAATTGAATAAACTCTAATTCTTATAGTCTTTTTCATTTTTGTCCCTTGTCACAGTCTAAACTCTCATAACATGATTGTTCTTATTGATAAATAGGCTTGTTTGTCCAAATTATTTAACTTTTCATATAAACATTGATATGCAACTGAAAGTCGTGAGTTTTCCTCGTAAGTATCAGTATAAATTAGAAGGGTTGTTTTCTCTGTTTGAAGATGTGGAAGAAAGACCAATCAGGACAGCACTGCAACTCATTAACCTGGCGGTGTGGCAGTCACCAGAGAAGGGCCATACACGCAATCTGTTTAATCATGGTATAGTAACAAATGTTGCTTCAAAAGGTCAAACAATCCCAGCTACAAAGGCTGAGCCCCATGTCTTCTGTCCCAACTAGTAGGTAACACTCAGGTACCCCTTTTCTACCCAGTTCTATCAAATATAGTTATGATTTCTTTCTGTACAATTGAAGAGCTTCAGGGAGGGAAGATGGCGCTTGGTCTCCTTAAATCCCTCAGTCTCTGGTCAACCATTTTGTGTTGTTAGATAAAAATATGGAAACTTGTGTTTCCCACTTTCTAGGCAAATGTTCTTGGCAAATAAGTTGTTATTGCAACAGCCTTCCTGGTTCTTGGTCCAGCTCTGTTCTCCAGTACTGTGGTGATCTGCATCGACTTCTGTGGGGAGCCTAATCCTGGTCCTCATACCTTAGGTGTGCTCTGGAAGTCCTGTAGGGATGGAGGGCTCCCCAGGAGGGGGCTTATCTCACATCTGAGCTAGTCCCTTTGATCTGCTTTTACAGGTGATTTTACAGGAAGAGGTGCTTCAGAAGTGTTTTAGAAGTGCACTTTGTGTGTATTTCTTGCATGCTGACTATAATGGGATCTTAGGTGATGAACTCTGATGTAGAGCTCTGCTTCTAATCAGAGAACCCCCTGTTCTTGGAGAAACAGAAATCTCCTTGAGTTATGTGAAAACCATAGCAAGGTGGTTGGAAATGTGAGCATAAATAGGATTAAAATTTTACAGGTTTGGCAGATTTTGAAGTGACACCAGGACTGGGTGGAGAGTTTTCCAGGGTAGAAGGAGCCATGGTTCCCAGCTTAAATTGGGTGTTGGGTCTGTAAGCTGGTGTTGAGGGCGGGTTCTGAGGCAGAGTCAGTTTATTTCAGTTTGAGCTTGGTGTCTCCAAAGAGGGAGCCTGAACAAAGGAATCCCTGGGTCTTTATCTCCTCACAGCCTGCACACCTGATCCTCACGTGCTCTTCACGAATCTTGCATGTGCCTCTTGGTCCAGTGATGATTTATGGTCTGGGGTCTTCTAACACCTCACTGGATTCTTTTTGAGTATTTCTGCACTGTGGTTTTTTAAAGATACAAATTTTTCAGAACAGCTGACAGGTATTTTCAGTTAGGTATTTTGGTACTATTAGGGCCTGTGCACATGGAAATGTTCAGAACTAGCTGAGAAGTGCTACTACACAGTGTTGCAGTTGCACAGGCAGGCTGTCAAGCAGGAGCTTTTATTTGGCTGCCTCACCACAGCTTACAACAAATCAATTTAGTAGCATCTACTCGAACAGCACAGACTCCTGTGTGATGATTGTGGCTGAATGGGGGACAGGGGCCTCTGGTTCCATGCAGGATCCCAGAAGCCCGGAGGAGATAAAGATCTTCTTAAGGGGAAACTGCAGCAGAGAAATAGCAAGAGACACACAAGTGTGTTCTAAAGGAATAAGAGGAATAGGAGACCTGGAGATGTTGGGCTGCAGCCTAATGCAGGTCATCCTTGGATGCTTTAAGAGTGGTACTCAGGCAAAGAACTGGGGAATGGAGCAGACAGGGAGCATCCATGCTTTTCTGCTTGTCTTGAAGCTTCACCACTGAGGGAAAAGAATATCTTCCCAACGCCCTTCTTTCCCTTCATATACTACTGTTGCTTTAGGAATGTGGACTTTGTGGGATGGTGCTCCTACAGCACCACTGTCTCCTCTTAGAGAGGGGAGCAGTTCTGTGCAGCAAACAGTCTGTGGCTGGCCCGGGCAGCAGAGGGGGGGCCATTGCTGGTGACTTGGAGGTCTGCCCATGGATGTGCTGGGGAGCAGTTTCTTCCAGAGAGAATCCAGCCACAGAAGAAGGAGAAAGATGCTGGAACATGCACCTGTGGGTGCAAATGCTTTCACCAGACACACCTGTGTATGCATATGCATACACTGCATGAATGTGCATGTATATTGCATATGCACATTATGAACAGGTACAAACCCGCATGTTTTAAGCAGGCTGGTGTGTGGATGATGAGGGATGGAGTCAGACATCCCAAGAGCCAGAGGAGAAACTTAAGGAGAGTTGTAGGCAGAATTTGTAGTCTCTGGCCCAGCAAAAACTCCAGTCCAATTTGGTTTGGGAGCCGACAGGAACAAAACTGAAATGGAGGAGCTGGTGCTGTAAGCAGGTCAAAGAATGATGTAACCCCACAGCAAAGCAATCCAGGAGGAGATGCACAAAGGCCAGGCCTTTCCCTAACCCTAACCCCTAATCCTGGCTGAGCAGGGAGAGAAGCATTGCCCAAGTGTACTGCAGGGACAGAGTTTGCCTCCTGAGTCAGAGAGAAATAATGAAAACAATGTGGGTGAATGGCAGAGCTGCTAATTTTGTGGTGATTAATTTATGTGTCAATGGAAAGTTATTCAAGAAAAATACAATATTTAGTTGTTTTATTCTGGAAATTACCGTCTTAAATCCATGCTCTCTTTTATTAAATACATTTATTGACTTCTTGTAGGTATGAATTAGGAGCAGCTTTGTTCATTGGATGGGCTGGAGCTTCACTCTGCATAATTGGTGGCATTATATTCTGCTTCTCAATAGCTGAAAACAGTCATTCTGCAAGGTAAAACACAAGTTGTATTCACTGAAAGAAATCAAAACCTCTGCATTTTTACCTGCTATATGTATGCAGTTTGATTATTGTTCCAAAACACTTTGTAATGAGATTCTGATAAAGACTGTGCACATAAAAGAAAATAAGGGGATTTAAGGATAATGCTTTGTCCACCATTAATGTAATTAAGAAAAGCTATTGACTCAGAACAAATATATACTTGTGATATATATTTCATAAATATTCTACAGCTGCAAAACCATGCATTCACTGATGTAGGAAAAGTGGCCAGGTGGCTTTACAGGCTTGGATAGACAAGTTTCTCTGATCTCAAATCACCAGATCAAAAGCAAGCGGTGGTGGCAGTGGGACCTCCAGCAGCTGAAGAGGGGTGCTAACAAAGAGGAACAGCTGTAGGGAGTTACTATTCACCTAGGATCTGCCACAGTTTTCATGATTAAGCCTTAATTTACTTAGCTGTGAGCGAGGGATATGTTACAGGAAAGTGTAAAGACAGATGCAAAGACAGATGGAGTGGCAATGTTTAACTAGAATGGGACCACACAGAGTAGGAATGTGCCCCCTCCCCTGAAATTTGTAGTTACATTCCCATGCATTTCTTCTAGATTTATTACTATGATGCCTGGATGCAGAGATGTCACCTGTCTGTAGGACGAGCTGTAAATGGTTGTTTTTTTCTCTTCAGGAGGGGGTATGCCTATAATGGAGCCACATCTGTGATGTCTTCTCGTACAAAGGTCCACAACAGTGTCCCTGACAAATCCCCACCCAAGCACTTTGACAAGAACGCTTATGTTTAGTTGCACTCTTGGAAGACTCAGAGCGTTTTTAAACGTGATTTTGTACGTTTCATTCAGAGTGATTTCCCTCAGCCCAACCCCAATGTACTTACCACTAAGACAATGACTTTTAAAAATATTAACTTGCAGCTTTTTACATATTGATGTAAATTTTATTATATAATATTTTAAGATTGATGTTGGTATTGTAAAGTTTATACCTGGCAATCATGAGCTGATATTGCATTCTTGAAAAAAAAATAAATGAGGTATTTACTAATTCAGTTTGTCATGTCAGCTGCTTATGGGAATGGCATCACACACATCGTATTGGCATACTGCAGTTCAAAACCTGAGCTAGTGTTTTTTCTTTGTCTGTCCACAGAAATGTGATGATTTTTCAGGAAGTATTTGTCTAAGTCAATAAATGAGAACAGAGATTACAAATAACCACAAAATGCTTTCTAGACTGAGTCCCTAAAATCAGACACAACTCATGTTTGTTATGAAGTTTGAACTGATGGACCTATAGAATTTCAACAAAAATTGGTTAGTTTGGGACAACAGTGTGAATATAAAAAATGAACAGTCCTATTTAATAATGACACAGTATAGAAAAAGTTTTATATCTGATATTATTTAAATTACATTTGATCTATAAAGTCAAGATTCTTTTTGTTTTACATTATTTTTTTGTACTTCATTTAAGTAGAAGCACTACTGTGTTTTTTTAAGAAGGCAGCCAATATGGACAAACCAGAAATGTCAAGTACTTCTGCAATGGCAGGTCAGTGCTTTCCTCAATGTGGCTTTACATTGTATTTTTTTTCCATCTGGTGTCCTTTTATACTAACAAAGACTCAACTCCAATACAAAAAAAAAACCCCAATGAACCAATTTCCCCATATAGGAGGCATTTAATGATGATTAGTTTTAGAGCTGAGGCTTTTTGCTTTTCATTTGGTGTTTATTGTAAACCATGGTTGAAACTTAACAGTTTAATACATGGATATATTTTCTTTAAAATGTTGACAATTTTATATAAAGTTCATGATAAAATACAAGAAAATAGGCATTAAAAATTGTATACAGTAATATTCTGCGGTATATTCTGTTCATTGGTTAACAGGCTTTCTTGCAAGACCAATTTCAATCTTTAATGTAAACATTAGAGGCAAAATATTCACCTCAGAGAAATGAAAGAGACTTTCACCACTGAACTCATGAGTGTGCTGGTTTTGGCTGGGATAGAGGTAATTTTTTTCACCGTGGCTGGTATGAGGCTGTGTCTTGGATTTGTGCTGGACACAGAGTTGATAATAGAGATGTTTTAGGTATTGCTGAGCAGGGCTTGCACAGAGCCTTTTCTTTTTTCATACCACCACTTCAGCGAGGAAATTGGGGGTGCATGGGAGGTTTGGAGGGGACACAGGTGGGACAGGTGACTCAAAGTGACCAAAGGGACATTCCAGACCATGTGACATCATGCTCAGTATATACAGCGAGGGAAGAAGGAGGAAGATATTTGGAGTGATGGCATTTGTCCTCTCAAGCCACCATTACACATGATGGGGCCTGCCCTCCTGGGATGGCTGAACACCTGTCTGCCCATGGGGAGCAGTAAATTAATTCTTTGCTTTGCTTTGCTTTGCTTGTGTGTGTGGCTTTTGCTTTCCCTATTGAACTGCCTTGATCTCAACCCATGAGTTTTCTCACTTCTACTCTTTCAAGTCTCTCCCCAGTTCCGCAGGTGAGGGAGTGAATGAGTGGCTGTGTGGGGCTTGGCTGAGGTCAAACTACCACAAAAAGAGAGAAGAATTAATTTGTTTCCAAACAGATATGGCCAGTATTGCATATTTCAATATTCTTTTTCAGAGTCAGATTGAATGACACAAGAGCTCTGTAAACAGTATTCCTTGTTATTACAGGACCAATGAGAAAAGTTACTGGGAAACACTTGACGTTTTCACCTGCATTTTGAACCCCAGCAGACCCCAAAAGCAGGACCTCTCATCAGGAATGGAACAATTATATATCTGAAGAATCACTCCAGTCTGTCACAGTGACTAAGCTGCTTTTTAACGTGCTTGTATTATCAGCTTCATGAAGGCCTGTTAAAACAAACAGACAAAACAATTAATAGCTATTAATACTCTTTTGGGGATATTTTTACTTTGTATCTGTCTGTAAGGTAAAATGACATGCTATGTGAGCAAACACCTGTGGACTTCAGGAAGTCCCAAATTGCAACCAGTAAGGAAACGACAAGTGTTGATAATATATAGATTGTTTCTCTCACAGAACATAAAGCACAGTACAAGCAACCTTACTTTCTCTTCAAAAATAACCAGAGGTATCTTAATGGAACTGACACAGCTTTAACCTTTACATACATGGAAACATTAGGGTTAGAAACTACTGTATAAATTATATGTAAGATTGAGGTTTTTGCCTTAGCACTAGTTCAAATACTCATCTCAGCCTGGTAAGTCAATTAGGTATCTTGAACAAACCTGAAATGTTGTTATTATTCTCAAGACAAAGTTGAGTTCCCTTCTCCCTTAAATTTGGGAAGGAAAAAAAAATCTTGGATTTTTTTATTAATTTTTAAGATGAGGTTGAAATCTGATAATATTATGGTTTAAAATCCCAAATTTAAGTTGGCATCTCTGTATATTTATGTGTGTGTATGGTTTATGTATCACTAAGTATCATAAAAACATTATATTTATATGGCAAGGAACCAAACAGAACTTTTCTTGTTCTTTACTTACAAAACACCATCTATTGAGTTACAACATGTAATACACTGTACTTAACCCTCCTCTAGGTGGGTCAGCCACTTATGAATATGTTACCTTCCTCCTTTGGCACGCTTTTCTTGGGAAGGCCCCATGCATGTACCACAGATGCACCATTGGGCTCATTTTTATGAACTGTCATCGCCTTCTGACCTCTGTCAGCTTTCATCAATAAAATGTCTTCCTCGGCTGATGAAATATCCCAATCGTCTTCATCAGCTTCTGTGAGCTAACAGGGACAAGAAAAAACAGGCATTTTTCCTCTGTCTGTTAAAGCTGTCCTGAGATCTTTCCTAAACTCAACAATGTGAAACTGGTAAAGAAAAATGCACTGGCACATGGCCTTTATGAAATCTATCATCACAGTTTTAAAATCCACATTAATTCAATTACCTAAATGATATTAATTTGCTGTTATCATTCCGAAACTAAAAGAGGTTTTTTGGTTTTTTTAAAATCAGGAACTGCAAACATTTAAGGTTCTGCCAGTCTTGCATCTGGCATAAACCTCTGTTTTCAGGTATTATATGCCAGCCTTAAAAAAGGATTATCTTTTCTGGGATATTCCAGTGAGATGAAAGTCCTCCAAGCATTAGAATGTAGATTACTTACATGAAAATAAAGATATATCATGCAAAGTGGCAGTTTATAAGCATTCTGTAGTCAAACTAGGAAAAAATATTGCAGTAAAGGCCTTCTCAATTTAAAACTAATTTATTTAAAAAGAAAATAATGAAAATTAAAAAAAAACACATGGTGCTCAAACTTTAAATATACATTCCCCTCAAGACTCAGTGTCAGCATGTACACAGAGATTTTAATTAAGTGGTGAATTTGCATACTAAGTTCACAAAAGAGAGTCAGTTCAAACAGATGAACCTGAAGGCAAGGAGTCCATGGTCCCTCTTACCTCATCTGCCTGAAAACTAAGTATCTCCATTCAGCTTTGGCAAGAAGAGCTACAGCATTTCCCTATTTTTCAGTCAGATGTGGTGTGATCAATCTGAGCTATTTTTAGAGAGCATAACTGTGGAAAGCAAACAATGGTTCCTCACAAAGCTAAAACCTTATTTCACTGGAGTCCTAGTAAGGATCTAGATGGTGCTTCCATTGCACAGAAGGAAGGTTCAGATGCTATAAGAAAAAAATGTAAGGTATGTATATGCTAGAGAAAAATCAACAAATATGAACGTGTTTTGTGTCTCGAAAGTGGGGAAGAGACTGCAGTAATGTGTTATCTTGCAACATAACTCCAGTTTAACATTGCAAACTGTTTTTCAAAAACTGACAGATCTGCTCTGTGTGCTGTATTATTAACATACCAGAATTCATTATTCTGCTGTTTCAAATTATCTGCATTTGGAGGGTGTGGTAATGGGAAAGTCAGTCACATATATTGAGAAATGCGGGAGGAAGTGTTTCCTTGAACATACAAGAAGTCCCAAATGATTGTTAAAGAATAAACATGTCAACTTCAAACAGAATTCCGTTTTGATCAAGTGTAAATACATGGCACCAATCAAAACTGCTTAACAGTTTTATTAACTCAAAGACTTATATAAAGACATTAAACTTTAAAATTATTAATATTAAACATATAAATATGGACATAAATATATGCATAAAATTACCAAAGCATACAAGATAGCGTGTTCTTCTGTAAAGATTCCAGAAAAAAAGTAGCAGTGCCTGCCCTGGTTTCAGAAGCTTATTCTGAACTCACCCTGTCCATACAGGATACAGCAGGGACTCAATGTATTCTAAATTAATTATAGCAACAATAATTTTCATAAAATGATGGAAAGGTGTGGGTTAGAAGAGACCTCAAAGATCATCCAGTTCAACGCCCCCACCATGGGCAGGAACACCTTCCACCAGACCAGGCTGCTCAAAGCCCTCTCCAACCAGACCTTGAACACTTCCAAGGATGGAGCACCCACAGTTTCTTTGGGTAATCTGTTCCAGTGCCTCAGCACCCTCACAGTAAAGAATTTCTTCCTAATATGTAATCTATATCTACTGTCTTTTCATTATAGTCTAATTTTCTGTCCAGAAAGATCTGTTCCATGAGCTTTCTGGGCACAGAAATGAGACTAGCAGGCCAGTAGTTCCCAGAGTTTTCCTTCTTACTTTTTGTAAAAATGGATTTATTTTTATATGTAGTCAGTGACTACACCCAGCTGTGATGACTTTTCAATTATCATGGAAGAATGGTTTGGCAACTATATCAACCAATTTCCTTAGGACCCTGGGAAACATTTCACTGGGTCCCATGGACTTACGTAAGTTCAAGCTTCTCTGGGGGTCTCAACCTTCTACCACAATAGGAGGGATTTAATTCCCTCAATACTTGCTTAAGGTTTCAGGGGCTTGAAAGATGTGGGAAGGGAGATTATCAGTGAAAACTACAGCATTTTTAAAACATAGGTTTAAGGTTTATTTTGCTACAGGCCCTTGAAGCCCAAATTCCTGAACGCTATGACCCACCATCTAAAGACCTTTACAAAATCATCCTGCCAATTTAGCTGTGAACATTTTATGGTCTTGTAAAATCTGACGCTACAAAGAATTTGGAAGTACTACTAGATAGAAAATTGTACTGTAACAGTCATGTCTGTGGTGATAATTTTGAGTCTTGTGCCATTTGCAGATCCCACACAGTCAATGAACAACTCAGGTGTCATCAATGGAAACTACAAGGACACAGGCTAAATGTCATTATGCTACCTTCATAGCCAAAGTTGATTAAGACAATCACCCCTATCCGGAAAATTAAATAGAAGTGTCACTGTTTTGGGGGGAGTGATGAGTTTCAGATTTAACCCACAGTCAGGAAGCTCTAAGGTATCAGTTTCATTATGGCTAACAGGGTTCTCAGTAATTATTATTTGCTAATTTAGTGAAAAAGTATTGTATTTAATGCTAGAACTAGTACCTGTCTGTCTACTTCAATCTAGAAACAACTATTCAAACTGAAATAAAATCAGTGCTGTTGACTTCTCTTTTGGAGTAATATTTTTTCCTTTTAAAAATTGTTCAGGCAAAGACCCCACATTGCAGCAAAATTGTTTACCAATTATAGAACTCTAAACTGAGGAGAAGACCAGGGCCATAGGAGCCTGAGTGGTAAAGAATCAATTGTGTTAGTATTCTGCTGGTGAACGCAAGCAATGGACAGCAATAGATTTGATGTAGTCTGAAAGTAGTATGTTATTAATGTAATAATGCTGCATATTAAAAGTGATACCTTCAGTTCTTTCACCTCTTCTTTCTTAATAAATGCCTGTGTAACATTAATTCCTCCAGCTGGTTTGTTCTTACTTCCATGGTTAGAAAGACTCTCTCCAACTTGTTTGGTCAGTTTTTTAATAACTGTTCCTAAAATTCAGAAAAAACTTAAATTGACAGTTTCCATTCACAAGGAGAGACTTTACTGTAAACCTTCTAGAAATCTCCCCCAAAGTAAAAATAAGTAAATTCTCTCTGAGATAAAGATTGTATCTTTTTCTGCATTTATATAGAAGAGCATGATGCACATCTCTAAGTAATACATTAACAGAAACATTTTAGAAAAAACATAAAGTGTTTACCTATATATATACACACTCAAGACTAGGTAATTTGCTTTTGTTACATTTTCTAACACAAAAATATTTCCATGAAACTCAAAATAATGCACAGCTGTCACAACATCCGTATACAAATGCAGTGAAAAACCTTTAGAAGTTCTGGGAGGTGTTCCAGTTTCTCCAGCTCTGTTTTCCTCCATCCCATTCCCATCACTTTTGCCAGAAGGCTTCTGAAAAGCATGGACTATGCTGCTTGATGGTTTTGACTGCTTTTGCAATGTCTCTGGTGTTACATAAGACTGTTTCATATCATCTTCATCAGCTTCTTCCTCTGAACTGAATGGTGGTGTTCTAAGGAAAACCACATACAACATGAGCACTTACTGGGTTTCAGTGTGTGCATCACCACATACAAATTTAAGCTTCCTTGTATTTTCCTTTCCAATAATTTGCATTTTTATTAGTGAGAAAAGACAGAATCTCCCCTAAATTTTAACTATTAAAAAAAATTAAAAGAAAACAGGCTTCTAGTTAAACTCAGAAAGTTTAAACCCCAAAATGCCCTCTTATACACACATGACTCCTTCCATTTATGTAACCCTCTTTACAAAACAAGAGACCAATATCAAACAAGTCTTGCCAGGCAAACATAGATGGGCTTTCATGGATTGGCAGATAGAGCAAATTTCAGGGTCAAAGTATCTGTGCCACAGAAAGCCTATTGTGACATCAGATGGGAATTTTTCAGTGCAAGTGAAGTGGCAAGGAAGTGGCAAAATAATATACCTGATGTGAAAGGAACATGGACTATTGTATTTAATCTTGGTTGCAGTACAAAAATATCAATAAATTGAAAAACTTAGGTCACCAAAGTCTCTAAATGTTTTTAACACAGTCAGAAAAAACATCTAAGAGAGAAACTAAAGGAAGTTATTGTTCTTATTGAATATCTTTCTCAACCACAACAAAGAATAGATATGCTGAAAGAAAAACATGCTATCTTTCAGGGATTATAATAACACATTCAAATGGAGTAACACTTTAAACCAAAAAATGAAGTATGCAGCCCAGTGTTTATGATTTTAGCTTAATAATAGTTTATGTGTGGCAAACATGTCACCAAAAATGTCTTTTTCAAAAAGTCAAAGGAACAAAACATACGTGATGCTAGATGTTTTTCTGGAACCTCCACTTCCAAGAATCTTCCTGGATCTAAAAATAATGAGATAGGTTATTTCAAGACTGACAGCAAGCATAAAGTTTATATGGAAGTTATGTGAATTCCTTCCTCAATTCTTACAACTGAGGAAATGTTCACATCAGCCACAAAAGCCCAAACCCATATGACCATTATCTGAGGTATGAATGATTTTAGAATGGCATCTCTTACTTTGGAGTAGAAGTAAACTCAGGGAGGATTGTTCTTTGTCCAGGTGGGCGGACAGCTGATGGAGACGACTTTGATGGCTTTTGTGGTGTGGCAAATGAGGAAACTCCCAATGGATTGAACCTGTGTTTTTCTACAAGAAAAGTTGTCTATGTCATTCTTACAATCAATGTTTGGTATCTTTCACATTTCATTTCTACAATTAAAGATGTCTCTGCTGCAGACTATAGTTTCACAAAAAAAGGAGAGGAAATATAATTCTTTTCTTCCAAGCAGTTCTGAGTTAACCAACCATGCGTTGGGTTAAAAAGTGTAGCAATTTGGCAGAAAATGAACTCCCTTGCTTTACAACTAGTCCTCAGAGGTCATCAGACATCTTTCAGAATTGAACCCTTGGCTATGCCAAGTGTCTTGACCCAGGAAATTAAGTTGCAATTGTGATTGCAATTGTATTGTTAGTGCTATAAACAGCTACAATGAAGTTAATGTTTCTATATGTATAAATGTATATATATATATATATATATATATGTATATGTATAATATCTGTGTATATATATTTCTGGCAATCCAAAAGAACCACATATGTTGTATTTCATAGACTGGCTCTTTAGAATGTGACCAGACCTATGGTTAACAGACTGCACATGCACCCTGTGTGAGGCCTGTAGTTACGCTTTTGCAACACAGTGATACAAAACCAGTTGGAGAAGACCCCGTGGCAGTTGTGTGTGCAACAAAAATGGGGAAGAATGGGTTAACAGCCTTAGGTTTAGGCATTCCAATGTCCAAGTGTCAAGGGTTTAAAGGAGGTTAAGTTCCTCAGAGCCTGATAGATTAAACGAGCCACTTCTGACACCTTGGAAAAATAGAGTATGGGTTGAACCTGTCTATACTAAAATAATTACAACAGATAATGGGAACTTTAGGATATTGGTGCCAACATCCCCAGTTTCTCCATTATTGCCCATCCCTTGCACAGTTTGCTCAAAAAGGGGAAGTCATGGGAGCGGACTGAGTAGCACATTGAACCAGTTACAGAGCTTGGTCCCACAACCCCCCTGTATCCTGTTACAGCAGAATGGGGTTTCTGTTGAGAACATGGTGCTTACTGCAGCCTGTTTCACACTGGCCCTGGTGGACCAGAGAGATTCAGCCCAGCTGCATTTAAAGAGACAGAACAAAGATATTCTGAGCTGGAAAAGAGACTTTAATCATTAGTCCAAGCAGTTACACAAGTTGAGCCACTAAAGGATAACCTGTCTGGACAAACCCCAATGAAAGCTGTATTGCTTTCCCTTTCCAGGAGGGATACTGGGAATGATGCCAGCACATCTTCACTGAAGATCAAGTTAACCCATCTAAGGATTTGTTATCCTTGTTGTAGAAGCAGCTGCTGCTATCATGAACGAAATTTGGTTCACACATCAGCAAGCTTGACCTGCAGGATGGAGACCCTCACTTCTACCTATGGAAGTTAATCAATATGGTAACTAGAGCACATTCTGCACCACACACATGTCTCACTTGTGAAATTCACTGTGACAGCAAATATAAGGGAAGGAGATGAGGCCACTTTGCCCACTGAAATTAGAAAGGTAACCTCAATGCCACTGAATTTGAAAGGGAATTTCAGTCCTGGTGGCATCTAATCAAATACATTAAGTAAGATGAACAGCATCAGTGGTCAGACTCCCTCTTCAGATGGTCATCCACAGCTAGAGGAATTTTCAATAAACTACTTAATCCTGTTGTTCCTACATTAATCCTGACTCTATAATATGTTTTCCTTTGGTCATAAACATGTATCTGGATAATGATCTGTCAGAAACATAAGGTCTGGGTATGGTATAATGAAAGGTGTGGGGGAGAGAAATTGCCCTATAGAGACCCCCCAAAAATCCATTGAACAGGTGTGATAGGGGCATCAAATTGAAGGTGTGACTGTAGTCACGGGGTGGATAACATAAGAACAAGGTGTACAGCAAAAAGATACATGATGAAGGGACTTCCATGAAATATGCCATGAGATGTGTAGCTAAGGGATTATGTGGCCATCATGGCATGCTGAGGGGGTGTTAGGTTATCAGGCAGAGGCTGGAAGTCAGCCAGGGAAGAGGGATTGATGCTAAGGTGTCACTGTTGGTGAATCTGGGATCACAAAATGAGACCAGACTCAGACTATAACCCACACCGCTGGTGCACCTGGGAACATGATCAGACTTACAATACTGAACTAGTTAAAATCAGAAATTAAGCTCAGCCATTACAGGCCCTTCAGTTCTGTTAGGATCAGCTGGAAAGCAAGGGGTTTATTTGCTGCCAAAGTGCTACAGTCCCTACACAACACTATGTATATTGCCTGAGCTAAGATATTTGCTGTTAAGAGCATATTGATACCATGTCGAGAACCCTCTAAAGAAAACAGTTTAGTTGTCCATGACTATATAGAATATTGTTATGGAAAAGCAGGAAAGCAGCTATACAGAAATGCTGTTATATAAAACTTTAAAATAGCAGTTATAAAATGTAAGACAATGAAATAAACCCCAAAATCCATTGTAACCTTCACCAAGAAGCTGAGCACAGGAATCGGGTCTTCTAGAAGATGATGATTTCTCTTCAACCCGAAAGCCAACTTGACGTTCAAGATGCTCTCGAATTCCAAGCATGGTGGGCTCTTGCTTCTCTTTGCGTTCTCTGGCACTTTCAATTGCTCGCAAAATTTTATTTAAGCGATCACTTGATATTCCACGAACACCCTAAGAAAACAAATTGTATTGTAAACACTCTTTTACACTTCAGATATCACAGAGCTTGTAGTAAAATCGCAGATGTTGGTAGTATTGCTCACAAGTGTAGACATATAGACATATCCTCCACAGCTGTAATTTGATGGCCACCCTCTCAGGTTGGTGGTTAAGGAATTGCAGTTATTTAAAACATGGAAATTTAGCTCTGGATTTTATAGGTTGAGAACTCTAGTACAGGAGTGAAAGAACGGAAGAGAAGTGGTACAAAGATTACCCTTCTTTTAAATAATTCAACATCTTACTGCTTTAATTCCCAAGGATTCCAGCTTCTCCTCCAGAGCTTGCTCCAAAACAGCTCGCAATTCTTTAGTTAAAGAAGGATCAGACTTCAGAGCATTTATTAAATAGTGGTTACTTCTATCTGGTTTTAGATCACTTTTCTCAGTTTCTGAAATAAGAAGTAAAATGCTGTTAAGAGATATTTTTAAAAATCCACACTACATGAGACAAAAACTGCAGTGAAGCATGCATTCTTTAGAAACAGCAGAGACATATATGTGCACTTTTCATCTACATGGAATTGTGTAATTTTCAAAATATTGGGCTAGCTTACAAAAGTCAGCTCACTTGGAATCTGTACCTCAGCACCTTGTAGCCACCATCACAAGTAACTTTTATTGCTCGTTACAGAATTTCTGTAGAGATACTCTGCTAAATATGTGGCAACAAAGATCTTTACTTTTAGCATTGTACTTGAAAACTTCTGATAAATGAAGACTATTTTCTGATACTTAAGCTTTCTAAGCATGGTGTTTCAAATAAAAGCTGAATTCTAGCAAGAATCAGAACAAGAATATTACAAACTTTTCCTCAAGAAAAGCTTCAAGCAACATGATTTTCTCTTGATAAAATCATCTACTGAAATTAAACCTTTGCAAAGCTGTAACACTTTCAAAAGTCTTGGTAAAGACAAAACCTTAGTCTGGGGCAGACTGTTTCACAGAAAATACCTAATGGATAATAGTCATCTTCAAAACTCTTTCAAGGACAAAGTTCAGTGTTGTGTTTTCTTCTATGCCAGTCTATAACATAATACATACTCAAAAGCAGACAAAGAAGTTCCCATCTCTTTTCCTTGCTTTAAGTGTCAATATTGACTCTTATGTCAATAAAGAACTCTTATGCAAGAAAAAAAGAATCATCTAGACAGATTCTTCCATCTAAAATGAAGACTGACATTTAAGTTAGGCCAAAGTATTACAGGGTCATACAGGAGAGTAAAGAAGCAAAACACACCCACTTGGAACCTGTCTATGAAGTGCCACTGGCAAGAGAAAATTTTACTGAATGCCGCATAAAGTAAATGAAGCAATAACTAGTGTAACCATGATGGCTGCTTCTGTCTGGCAGTGGTCAGCAAAGCTGGCAAAGGGTATAAAGCAACCCAGGGAAAGCATGTAAACCACACTCCCAACTCCCCTGAAATACAAAGAGAATCTTGGGCAGGAGTTTGTCTCTTCCCAGTATGCCTTACAGGGCAGCAGAGTCATCTGCCACTCAATAGACAAGGACAGCAATGAAGGCATAATTCTATATTGTGATGTTCAAACATTTTATTTTGAAACAAATTTGTCACTTTTTCTATTTGTAAACAATGACAGCTTATTCGAAAGCAGTTCCATTTCCTTTTCATTTTTCTTAAAGGGAGAGACAAGCACCCTAAAGAAGAGACAAAAAAGCCTCAAGATGCATAAACGACATATTAGGTGGTATTCAGGAAGTAGCTTCCCATGAGATCCTGGAAAGAACTATAGGTAATGAAAACCAAAAGAGAGTCTAGCTGCCATACTATTAGATCTGTGTTGAAGAAGACATAATCAGGCTGAAATCTCATCTGATTTTGGGAATTCTGTGGACAACTCAGTCCCTGACAGAGATGAGATTAAAACTGATTTGTATGGAGAACTGAGTCCTAGAAGAGGCAAAAAATTGGGTCTTGAGGAAACACACGGCTATCTGACTATCCCCAGTCAGGACAAGATGACATTATGCAATGCAAAATTCTCCCAGAAAGCCATACATGAGACATTTTAAAGTAGAAGGCTCCCAGGAGCCTTCTGAAAACCCTGTCTATTTCCAATATTAATCCTTACAATAAAATAGATACATTTTAAACTCATTTTAAAAATGAGTTTAAAAAATGCCTAATTACTACATACTAATAAGGGTAACAAGAGTATCCAACATTATCCTAATTAATGACAATATTAATTCTTGCTAAGTAACTCAAGCCAAATCCTCTTTGCCAGAACAATTATTTAAGGAAGTGTTTTCTTATTCAGCCCTAAATACTAGATTCAGCTTTTAAGAAAAGGGACCTTACATCTGATCCACTGTCTCAGTTCCTACATAATCCTAGAAAATTATGTTCCGAGTCAAGAATTTTCACAGTCTCCCTTACAAATGACTGTCATCAAAACCAAAAAAATCTTGGTCTGTCTTTTCAGACTGCATTCTTTCTTTTTCTCTTCTGCACTTCAGGTCATGCCTTTAGGCACAGAAGAAGAAACAAAGACAATCCATCAAGAGAGAAGATGGCAAGCAAGAGAAACAGTAGAAGGAACGGCAAAAATGCAAGCAGTCTTTATTTCAGATTGTTCAGTCACTGGCTTTCCCCTGGGGAAACCTCTCAACACACAGATGTATTGAAACAACGATTTTGTTTTCAAAACAGTATCATTCCTTTGAAATTTAAACTCACTGGCTGTAGGGTTCAAGACTGATTTTGGTTTTCACACACAGAACAGATTTTTCTGTTACTCAGCTATTTGGTATTTCACCTAAGGTACTACTAGCTGCGTTCAGGAGAAGAATACCATGCAGGATGAACCAGCGCTTTCTGTTCTGTCATTGTAAATGTGGCCTTCTCCAAGTTCTCCTCGGAAGAGGCACAACAGCTGCCAGTGCCAGGCTATGTAACTTTATTCTAAATTGCACAACCCTGGCTGGAGCTGTGGCTGCTTATGGGTAGGTGCAAGCCAGATTACTTGTAAAAATATCTGTGATGCATTCATGAAAGCTGGCAGCTCCAACCTCCACCATTAACTTCCTTCTGCCTGAACCTTTTATTCTCTTAGGCAGAGTTTTAAAAGGGAGTGAACACATATTGCAATAGTGTCAGCACCAAAAATTTCCTAGGGAGGGGCTTTTCCCCATCAAACATTTTTGCTCTGCTTAGTTCAAATCTCTTTAAACATATGGAATGTGCCTGCTTTAAAGAAGTTAGCTAGATTTTCGTAAAAACATTGAACCTGGATAAGGAAATCATATTTACAAGCAATAGCAAGCAGGAGACTGACACAAACCATGTTCCCACCCATATCACACAAATATAATGAAATACAATGAAAAATACTGTAGGTATCAAATAAGATTTTTTTGTTTTCAAGAAACACATGCCAGCATATCTTGAGCTGAATCAATCATTACCTTTTTCCTCTTCTGAAAGCTCCTCTATGGGCTCCAGCATATGCACCAAGGGTGCCTGCTCTAATAATGAAGAAGAACAGGAACACCAGACAAAAAGGACAGAAAAAGGTCAAGGTCCAGAGAGGGAAAGTCAGGAAAAAAACCACCACACTGATGTCAACTTTCTTGATTGCTGAAAACCTGCTTAACCATCACAAACCCACTGCAACACAACTCTTCACTGCCTTGAGGGTACATTTTTGTAGAGGAGACCCTAATACATAGTAACTTCAGGAGTGATTCTGTTGTCCAAACACAGGTGTATGGTGTCATCCCAGATACATCAGTTTTAAGCCATCAGTGCAAGGTTGATTGATACATCACACAACTTCTGGAATGGCACCAGGTAAGATATTTTCAAGACATCCACAATGACAGGGCCACCCAGGATTATGTAAATCAATATTGTTATTAATTTCTCATAAGAAGCAATTTTTTAAGATTAATTTAAAAATATTGTTTATGTGCAATTTTATACTGAAAGTTTAAAAAATACAAGTGAAATGGACAAAGTAAACCTCAAAAATATATGGAAAAATATATTAACTCACTATTCCAGGGTTATTAAGTACTGAGTCCATACATGCAAGACAGACATTGAACATTTTTTTATATATATATGAGATAATTACCAATAAAACAAATTTTAAAAACCTTCAATCACTCCAATCGAGTAAGATTCAGTGTTATCATCTGTTTTAAAGAATTCTTGAAATGTCTGTGCTGCAAACAGCTTCCTAAACACATTGAATTTATCATTCAATGGGCTGTCAGGTACAATTTGCTTCACAAAAATGAAGCCAGACTACACTTTTTAGACTTCAGATTTAAGACACGCTTGAAAATGTTTATATGTAGACCAATAAGTATTCAGGTTTTTAAAATGTGAATTAATATTCACCTTCTACAAATTAAATTATATCAATGAAAACTAGAGCTTGAGTGTCTTCTAGGGTTTACAATAAAAACAGGTATGCAAACTGTACTTACAGCATTCAACTATAGGCATTATAAGAGAAAACAATTTATTGGTCACTATTTTGGGCCTACGTGCATTTGCTCCATCCTTCACAAAAAACCTCTTGCACAAATGGTTGTTATGCTCTATGGGTAGAAGAGGAGAAAGTGATGCTGCATGAAGATGTTTTTTGGCACTTCTTGTACACCAAGTACAAACATGGATGCACTGTGACAGGAAATCACAGTGAAATAAGCATTTGGAGCTAAGTGACACTGCCACATCTCCAATATTCCCCAAGTAAAGGGTGTTAAATCTGATGGCATAAATACTTGGGGTATGGGAGCTGCTCTCTCCATGCTTTCCATGCCTGTGGTGATATTCAGTCTCTCACCTGCTTTTCCAAGCTAATTGCAAGATTTAAGTTTTGCTCCCACAGAACTTGTACTAAATAAGAAGTTTTAAAAAGATGCTTCTTACACCATCACAAGTTGTTAATAAGATGCAAATATCAAGATACCTTAGGAAAACATTTAAAAGCAAAACTCAGAGACAAATGGGCTTCAGTCTCTAAGGCTGTAAAATTTACCAGTGGCCAGAGCATTCCTGGGCACTGGAACACGATCCTCCACACTACTGCTCCTGGCACACTGCTGCCCTTCACCAACTAAGATTCTCCAAAACAGTGTTCAGACACAGTTTGGAATCGTTCCCAAAAGCCTGAAATGTGTCTGTTTGGAAGGATGGAGCCTGAAGCACAGACAAAATGTTCTGGGAAGATTTAATTAAGCTGCATGGGCACTGATGCCTCTGAGTTTCTTGGCTGGACTTACCAGTCAATAAGGCAGTTGCTTTGTAGTTGGATTTAACCTATGCTTGTTTTACCTGTACTTTACCCAAAATGCTCTGATTAAAGGGGATGACTCATCTCTGCACAAACCCTTGCCGAGTGACTTAACATAATAGGAAAATCCCAGTCCCCCGAAACTCAGACCTGAAAATGGTCTGGTGATTGGGCATAAAGGTACATGCCTCTCTTCCTCAGTGTACCAGAAACAGAGGAAATGAAAAATCAGTAATTACTAAGAACAGTTGCAAGAGCAGATCCCAAATGCATTACTGTTATGTGTAATACTGTTGTTCACTATATGGTAACAGGGGAGATCAAATGCTAAGGCATGAGGGAGTGCAACACCTGAAAATACCAACTTCCCTGACGTAAACAAGCCCTTTCTTTCTTTTCACTGTACACATATTCTAAGAGATATCTATTAAACATCACATTGGATTCACACTTAAGGAAAACCATTACTCTGGTTTATAGACAGGTGTGGAGATGACCCCCCCTTAAGGAGTCCTCTCCTTATGTTTACCAGAGATGTGCTTCTTCTGGCCATCTGATCAGCCATATTAATTCTAGCCATCATTAAGGCCAGCGGTGCTGTGTATATCATCCCACATAATCCAGAGTATCTCTTCTGCCAGCTAGTATGTGTAGAGACACAGATGTATCAAATTAATTAATTTCTTAGTGGATAATAATACTACTGAAAAATTATGTGCCCAGCACACTTTAAGAAAGAATTAAATACCTGTTTTAAAGAGTATTTGAAGACCATTTCTATACAGGTAGAATAGGAAAATACATGTATCAATAATGAAGGATTCAGGCTGTGTATATTTCATGCATATCATATATTATTTGTCTGTTCTTACCTACTAATTAAAAAAACCCAATATTCTGACAGTACTATTGGAAAAGCAGTCCTCTGGCCAACATTTAAAGAAGAAATCCCATCTATTTATGTTGAAATAAGAAATGCTAAAGAACTTTTAGCCTGAACAGAAGCAATAAAATTATCTATGGTGTAGTGTCATCTACAGTAAGCACTTTGCACTTGCAGTGTAACAAGCTAGGAAAAACCATAAAATTGGTTTTTTTTAAACTACTGCATTTCTTGAAGATGTAAGGAATGCAAGCCATGGCTACACTCATTATATACTCCTTTAATTTATACTCAAATTACACATACAAAGAGCTGCCAGACCTAACCTGTGATATCTGTAATTTGGACCACTGTTTTTGAATTAATGCACTTCATATATTTTTCCTCCTAACTGATCAACAGAAAGCCACATGCTGCACATAAGCAGCAGAAATATTAATTTTAAACCAATATTTCTAAGATTTTTTTTTGACACTTACCTGAGGCCTCTAAGTTAGGAGCCTAGTCACCTCAGACTCCTTCAACAGTCAGCAAAGAGACACAGGCAACTCCAAAGAGCATTCAGATCTTAGTTCAGCTGAACCAAACTCTGAAGGCGCCCCTTTTCTGTTTACTGTCTAGGAAGAGTAAGTACTTTAACTATATTTTCCTCAGATGCTTCAGCTATGTCCCTAGTGATAGCTGAGTCTGGGTGTCCACACCCTGTTTGTATACTGAGACATAGGTTTTAATGAACAAACTAATTTTCAGCTTTGCTTTTTAACTACCATCTTCAATTCCACCTAATATTATTGACCTAGAATAGCCTAAATATTGAACAAGTATCAACATTTCAAGAGTAATAGAGGAGGCAAAGCCTAATTTTAAAATAGTATTAAAAAAATAAATTGTAATTAATCTGTTGCTTTTTTTGTGAGACTGAAATAATCATTGAAAGTAAGAGCTGCTATATTTGCACAAAACCCTACAGGTAGCTCAGAAATGGATAGAAGAATGTTCTACCAGGATGGAATTCAAGGAGCTCTACTAGCTCTCACAAGAAGTCAGGAACATTAACACAAAACCAACAGACTAACATAGTTGCTCTCCTACTTTACACCTAGGATAACTCACATTTGCAACTAGGGTTATCTTTTCATTACATAGATTTAAGATGCGCAGAATGAATACTAGGATGCAAAAGCTTCTGAGCGGCTTTGAAGAATGTACTTAAGTTCACATTAGAGAGCCTTTTCTAGAATTAATTAAAAAAAAAGAAGATATTTTATATGCAGGCAATTATAAGATGATCTGTGCTAAATAAATTTGTCTACAGAAGTTACCAGGAAGTGCTTTCCTTCTCATAAAGGCATGAGATGCAGCCATGATGTCTTAATTCAGTAAGTCAATCCCTTGAGGAGTCCTGAAAACTTCGGGAAAGACACCATAACTTCTGCTAACCTCCAGAAAATTAGGTAAGGCAAGTTTAAAAAACAATCCAGAAGGGAAGAAAGGGGACAGACAGAGAGACCTGCAGAGATAAATAAAATAGTAATCAGCAAAGGAATCTGAAGGGAACACCTTCTTTGAGGTTTCATAATAAACTGATGTTGAATCTTTTGTCTATCAATGGCAGGAACAGCCTTTTCTATCTCGAGAAGTTTCATGAGATGTCACAAACTTCATATTTGAAGCAGCAAGACATTATGAAAGATCTGAATGAACTCATTTAAATTGTCAGAGTACAAAAAATACTAATGTTCACAGGGCTGTTTCTGCCCTCAGTACGAATGAAAGCAAATGCACCAAGTAACTAATGCTTGACAACCTTGGTAAGTCCTTAGCAGCCATAATCTCCATAAAACTTAAATTCAGGGCAATTGCTAAACGACATGCTGTGAGACTTCTTAGCCAGAACCAGAACTATTATTTTGGTGTAATGAGGCTGGCATAAATGAAAAATAATTAATTGTTTAAAATGCTATTCCTAATTCTCTATACTTAATATACTGTTACTTTTGTCTACACAATATTCATCCATGTAGTTTAACTCAGAAAGCTACAAGCAATGAACTACTAAACCTTGCATAACTTAGAAAGAAATCTTTCTATTATTCAAATAATGTTACCACAGAATAATTAGTAATAATATAATCAAATTTCCTTTTTAAAATAATTCCTGTCATAACCAATAGTTTAAAATGAGCACTACGTGAGTTTTTCATTCCTCATCAAATTATTGAAAGTTTGATGTATAGTATCCTTTTCAGAACTTTTTGTATTTGGTGAAAAAGAAAAATTGTCCACATTTTTCACAGACAAATTCCATTTAGTCCCCATGTGGCAGGTTTAAAAACTAAGAGAAATAATTAGAAAAATACATTTTTTAATTATAATTCAAATTAATAAACTGTTTTTAAACAATTTGCTTGCTAGTTTTTCACAACTTTACTACTTAAAGGGAAAATAAAGAATTAGTTGAGCTGAGAATATTGATATGTTAACAACAGTATCCATTAATTTGCATACTGATTAAAAAACAAAATTCTTTTCACAAAGTACAAAACAACGTAAACATAGCTCCCTCGCCCCCCTCCCCGTCTAAAGGATATCACAATGCTGCAAGTTAAAATACCTAAGTAACAATGTATATGTAACCACAGATATATGCTGGCAGAACAAGGACAGGATAACTGTCTATTTTGATTATCTCTTCTGTATTTTTACTCCTTGCCATTTGAAGTCACATGGAAAATACAGTATTTCAAGACTTGAAATAAACATCTCCACATGTTTCCCTACACAAATTCCAGTAGATGCATTTAACAATCCAGTATATCAGATGAGCATATTTTCCATTAGAAAACACAGATATTTTTCCTCAATAAATTTCATCTAAGTGCTTCAATAATATACATATTCTAGGAAGTATTCTCCAATTATTTTTATTTGTTTTTTATTTATTCTTCTCAGTAGTGCATCCTTATAATTATTTCATAGAAATTCTCAACTCTGACATGCAAGTTATGTTCTTCCAACAAAACTACTCTTAGACCTATGATTTGACAAGCAACATATCTGATAAGAGTGAGTGTTAGATTTGAAAGTTTTGGATCTGGACCTATAAAAAAACCTTACCATGTAGGATAACTGATGGACTTGATTTAGATTCTTGAAGACGCTCTACAGGAGTGTTCACTAAAATAACATAATAGTAAAAAAATAATTGAATTGTATTATAGTAAACAGTAACAAATACAGATTCTTAAATGTAGCAATATTTAATCACATTCATAAATTAGTTATTTTTTTACATTAATAGGGAAAAAATTAAAAATTTACAAAGTAAAAACCATTTCATCACAACATAAAAGTATATCTCTATATATGCTTACTATTTTTGACACTTCTAGAATCAGGAAAAGAAACTACTAACTAAATCATCACTGGACTAGAATGCAATCATTCTTTTGGTCTTGAGTGCATGTTGTCTTTGTGTCACAGGGAAGAAGTCTTGGCCCAAAGCTACTTAGCCAATACCAGCCTGACTGGGGCTTATACTCCCCAGAGAGGATCTGCAGCATCCACACTTGACATCAACAAGTGCAAACCCTCATAGATGTATAGATCATGTATGTGTAGCCTTGGAGTGAATTAGTAATTCAATCCTACATTCCTCAGATCAGCTTGGGGCTAGGAGCAAATTTGCCCATGTGCCACGGACTTTTACTTGTCTGTGCTTCAGTATGAATGACTATGACCAGCTACAGACGAAAAGCTACGTGGCTGTGCTCTTATGAGGCCTTCCTCAAATTAAACCTACTCCCTGCTGTTTGACTCAGTTCAAGCCAGTGCATGGTTAATACAGCAAAATGGTTTCCAAACTGAGATCAGAATTAATTCATCTGCCATCACCTATTTCAATAAACTTCAAGTCACTCTAACCGCAGCATTAACTATATGGGTGTTTGTGGTCCAGAACAACATCCTGAAACACTATTATCAGATTTAGCTATTTGTAATAGACTTCAGTTGTTAAAGTACCACACAGACAAAAATATGAGTTCTTTACATCTTTGAACATCTGTGTCTTAAGTGACAAGTTAATCAGTTTTGTCTACTCTTTTAGTATTCTCCCTTTTGTGAGTTCTGCAGTCTAAGAACAGTCAAGCAGGAAAGAAGATTGATTAAAATTACACTTCATAAAAATAAAAAAAAAAATACAAAAAAAACCCAAAATAAAGTTGTTCTACCCAAGCTTTGTACATTAGAAGTCTTTACAGCTACAAAACATGATCTTTGTAAATCATGGCATGGAAACAGGTAGGTAGCCTGTGAAAAACAAATGCATTTCCAGTACTGATTTTATATCAGTATTTTGTTAGTCAAGTTGATGTCTATATTTGTTTCAGCCAGGCTGCAGAAATCAGAAACTAAGTCTGTTTTTTCTTGCAGTTTGTACTCACCATCATATGTTTTAACACTTGGAGGTGGTTTTGTGGACAATTCTTCTATCTAAAGGAGAAAACACAAATACATGAACCAATAGAAATGTAAAGGATCAATACCTAAAACAAACATTTAGCATAAAATACCTAGTTTCAGCACTATTCTGTAACAAAAATTATTGGTTATGATTTGTGGAGAAAAATACTTCTTCTGTGCCAAATATATATATTTTGTCCATGCTTAATGAATGTTTTTGCATTGTCTTAATGTCTTAATTATTTTAATGAACTCATGCTTTTTACATCCTGATATTGCCAGTTATAAAATCAAATGAGAGTGGACTTATGGGCCACTTCAGCACTTAAGAGTTTCAATACTTTCTTCCTCAGCAATTCATGTAGCATTTTCCAAGCCTAGCTTCCACTCTGGGAAACACTGGAGTGTTTAATTACACATTGATTTTAAATGCATGAACAGTTCTCCTCTGGGCTTTACAGTTTTGTCTATTTGACACCCCAGGACAAGCACTGAACTGACAGAGTAAAGGAAACACATTGGCTGTAATGTGATCTAAAGAAAACAGGAAACTTGTGAATCCTATATCATTAAAACAATGTTCTGCACTCCAATTTCCCAGAGAGAAGAACATGATGAATTCAGACACATAGCCAGTGTCAGATGGAGCTGGCACAAGATATTGGACCATGATCCTCTTTTATTTATCTGTTTGGTTAGAGCCAATAGTGTCCCTATTCATTGTCCATTAAGTTTGGATTCTGCAAAAGTGTTAGCTATTTCTCAAGCCCGTCTATTTTCCAGGGATTGAGAACGTAGATCTGCAAAACTGTGCTTCACAAACACCAAACTTGGACTCCTCTGAACCTATTATACATCTGTGGTCATATTGTTTTCTTTCCAAGGTCACTTTATTGAAGGAAATTCATCTATGATTAAGTCCTCCATTTCTCCAGCTATAAAATTTGTGGCAGTGGAGATGTAAAAGCTATTATTTGTCTTTCCATTCTTTAAGCATTCAAGTATAGGTTTAACATTAATCTCAAGCAAAATGTGTAAAATCAGATGTTGATTTACAAAGAATGCACCATCTAATAGAGGAATAGGCCACATAATCATGCCATAGTCTAAACTCCAGACTACTCAGATCTGCCCCCTTCCAATCACCTCTAAAAATCTATAGTTATGTTTCAACAAAACCTTATTTTAGGCAAAACCAATTCATTTCCAAATTTTCCACAGAATTGTAGACTATCTCAGGCTGGATGGGACCTACAATTGGATCAAGTCCAATTCCCTCACTGGACTACCTAAAACCTAAACCTAAGAGTATTGTCCAAACATGCCAATAGCTCTGACAGGCTTAGTACAATGATCACTTCCCTGGGGAGCCTGTTCCAGAGCCAGATCACCCTCAGGTTGAAAAACCCTTTCCTAAAGTTGAATCTGAATCTCCCCTGCTTCATTCCATTTCTCCTTGTGTCCTATTACAGATCACCAGAGACATCAGCACCACCTCCTCCTCTACTGCCCCCCTTGAAGCTGTGATGAGATCACCTCAGCCTTCCCTTCTGCAAGCTGAACAAGACAAGTAACAACAGCTGTTCCTCCTATAATGCCCTCAAGACCTTTGATCATCTTGTTTGCCCTCCTCTGGTGAGCTGAAATAGTCTGGTGTCCTTCTTATACTGAAGCACCCAAAACTGCACACAGGACTTGAGGGGAGGCAGCACCAGCACAGAGTAGAGTGGGACAATCACATCCCTCAGCCAGCTGGAGATGCTGTACATGATACGCCCCAGAACAAGGTTGGCCCTCCTGGCTGCCAGGGCACTGCTGACTCATATTCAACATGACATCACCTCAAACCCTCACATCTCCTCCTGCAGCCCCTTGTCCCCTAGTCTGTGGGTATAACCAGGGTTACCCCATCTCAGGGGAGAATCTGGCACTTGGTCTCACCACATTTCACACGGTAATATTTTAAATAATTATTCTCACAGTAATGAATATGATACTTTATTTTTATTGTGAGAAGTAATGTATGTTCAGATTTCAAACACTAGATCTCATTATGATAATTTTGTGGCAGACTAAATCCTTTTCACCATCAAAAATTTTTTGGTTTATTAAGCCTTTCTTTATCAAATGTATTTTAATTCCTGGCTTACATTCCTGTGTCTCTTTTCCATATCTATTCTTATCTATCAACACAATTTCCAAAGCAGAACCAAACCACTCCAGCAATACTATTACAAACTGAATATTAAATATACAATCAGAGAAATATCAAAGACTAATGCTAGATAGTGTTTCTGTGTCCTCTGCTCTCTGAAACAGAGTGTTTCACAAAACAGACCTGCCTCTTCTGACTAATAACCAGCTCATTCTGCTCCTGAAGCCTCTGCTCCAATTCTTCTATCCTCCTCCTGTAAAAGATGTTATTTCTGTTCAGGTCTTCTCTTGCTGATGTTTTGATTGTCTCAATCTGTGACAGTAGCTAGAAAGCAATCAGAAGGAAAGTAACGTAATATTAACACTATACAAAATACTTTAATGCTATGAAGTCTAAACAAGCGCCATGCTTAGATACTTTTAACATTTTTTTTCTCATCAAAAACTTGATGTCTTCTATGACTTCACTAGGACTTGTATATATTATAAAACAGTTGTCTGGATCACTTCTGAATTACACAAGGACGACTACCTAAATCTCAATACAAATAAAAAGACATATAAACATATTGCTGAGATTGCATAAAATTAAGTTTGCAGGAAAAAGTGTATAAATCTATAAAAATGTTTTAATTATAAATAGTGTCCAGCAATGATACTTTAAGGAGGTGACAGGTAAATTTGAATAATAAACCACTAAGTATATTAACTCCAAATGTGGAAGAAAGGGAATGTTATTTAGGTGCACCATCCCAAAAGTAATACTTACATTACTCCTCCCTTATTCTATTCTTGCACTGTATGTGGGTGTATCTTTAACTACATCCTTTTTGGGGACTGTTCCATGGTTCCTCCCCAATGTTTTCTTGCCAGAGGAGGAGAAGCATTGGTCAGACCACTATGATCTGCTCAGCTCTTACATGGGCACGCAGATGAAAGGAAAATGAAAGGAAAAGAAGCGAGAGAAACAAAGCAGTAAAGAGATTAAAAAGAAATGCAGATATAAAAAAAAAAAATCTGAGGAATAAAGCTTTGTATAGTAAAACATATAAACTGATGCAAAATAAAATGCCATGGTGTTTTCTCCTGGAAAAGCTGAACAGATTCTGCATTAGAAAGCTACAACAGAAAAAGCAATAGAGAAGTGATAGGAAGGAGAAAAAAAAGACTGAGACATATGCCACAGGTCCATGGTAACAGCAGGTACAGGGTGGATGAAAGCTACATTTTGGCAAGTCAAATCTCAGCTATTCAGCCTAACCACATAACACAGAAAATACTGTATAATGCAGTGCTCACAGAATCAGCTGTAAGTTCTTTAAAAGACAGATACAGTTTCAGTTTTCTGACAGATTCTAAAATGATATATTCAGTTTCAACCCTGGCTTTAACTGAAACACCAAGATCCTACCATCACAGAAACACAGAGGTGATAAATACAGCTAAGAGGACACACTCTTATAAACCCTTGATATCTGGCAGATGTACTAGAGCAGATCCAGAATTACTGAAAGGTAAAGGAAAAAATTAAAGTCTCCTTTAGGTGTAAGTGGTTTGCTGTGCGACTTACCAGGGACTTTTCTGTCTCATGGTCATGACGGATGGCTTGTATTAAAGTTGTCCACTTTTTTTCCTGCATAGAGGAAATACATTTTAATTCTTGTTAACAACACATTTAACTTGATATATGCAGCTCTGCTGCTTGTTAATAACACATGAGCATTTAGTTACATATATGCAGCTTTATTTTTCTAAATAAAGCATAAATACCAAAAAAATGACAGTTTATATGAAATTTGAGTAACCCAGTATTTAATGCCTAGAAAAGTTATAAGCATGATTTACACATGTGAGTGTGGTTTTCTTACCAATCACTCTAGAAACTGTATTTGCTCTTTGATTTGTATATGCAGTCACTGTGAGTGAGAAATACACAAGCATTTTGATACATCTCTGTGTATTAACAAAAAGAGTAGTAAGAGCAGGTGATCTTCCCTTTAAATAATGTAATTTTGAGCACTCATTAACAACATATTTTATGTAATAATAACAAACCCCAAAATTAACATGAGTTGTAGAGTGAAGCCAATTTTCTTTGATGAAATAAAAAACCAAAAACATAAAGCAAAACTGAGTTTTGCACATCTTTGAGCAGAAGTGACCAAACTTCTGTACAATGTCAGCAGCAAAGACCTTCACATCCCAAAAACCGTAAAAGAAAACAAAAGGCACAGATTGGAAAATCCTGTCAGAAAGTTTCCTAATTTTCTTTTTCATTTTGGGAAATAGAATATTCCAATTGTCCTGTAAGTGGCCTCACAAATGACTAAACATAAATGCTTTATTAGAGCCTTCTGGAATTGAACTTTCACCACATTTGACAGACAGTTATATTTAATCATAAAGAATAAGAGAATATCAATAAGTAAGAAACAATTACTTCATTTATAAAAGATAAAAAAAATAACCCCCGTTTGCCATTATATGGATAGAATTAAATAGTATTAAATCCTTCAAACCTGCTATTTTTGGCATTAAGAAGAATGAAAATTTTACTTAGGGATTTCATGTCCTACTCCAAGATGAACAAAAATAAAAAGAAAGCAAGTAATCTGTCAAAAGCAATACATTAAGTTACAGTGTTACCTGTTTTTCCATTAGTCTAACCACATTTGGATGATCCTGAGGACGCTGAGGTTTCTCCTCTATAAATTCATGGCTGTCTTTCAGTGTTCCTAAATTGGATTTTTGTTGCATATTGGACTTTTGTAATTCTAACAGTTGCTAATAGGAGGGAGGAATACAAAATTTTCTTTAAACACAGTTATCCATAGATTGCATCAGATACTTCCCCCATTTCTCGTGAGCTCAGCATTTATCAAATTTCACTTCATTACTAATATCTACATCTAATATAAATATGACTTGTAAAAGTACACAGGACCTAGCAGCTACAAAATATAAGCTGCTCTGGTAATGCCATGCAGATTTGTTTTCTGATCCAGCCATACTTTCATGTTTCTCTTGCTAGTGAGCATTTCCAAAGCATGTATTGAAAACACGTGAATTCTGTCAGGACCGTAATGCAGAAGTTATTGTCCTCCATGCCGCTTACAAGAATATTAACATAAGGATATCTGACATGCAGCAACCACAACAATATCTACTAACCTATAAACAGGTATTCAAAGGCTGAGGAGTAAAGAAAAACTGACATAATAGCTGAAGGGATCATTCATTCGTACAAAACAATCCTTTAAAAAAAAAAAATGCAACCTGAAGTTATGTTAATAAAATACCTGTATACAAAGATAAAGTTATAGCTACCATTCAATCATTTTTCAGAGTTCTGTAGGAAGAGCTTTACAATGTCTATATCACATTTCAAATACGTAAAGTTCACTGCCATCTATTGTAAGGGATTCATGCTTTAAATGTTAGAAAATCTAAATTGTTTACATTTTCTAAGGTTGAATTTCTTGAATATAACTCCTTAAGCTCTTTCATAAACATATCTTTCACTTTTTCTATTTGATCAGCCAATTTCTCTCTTTCCTCGTCTTTCCATTTGTTAAATGATTGTAGAATCTCTTCTTCTTTTGATTTTTGCTGCTCACATTCCTGAAATTAAAAAAAAAATATATTTTTCCTCACATTCAATACATATTCAAGCTCCTAAACTAGACTTATAATGCAGTCCCTTTTAGTATTTGGGAAATACTGTGACATCAAAAAACATTAAAACCACCAGTTTTCTTAAGAATTCTAGGGTAACAAACTATACATTTTGCTAGCTGAATGAGTATACTTCAAAAGAGTTTCAGTTGTTCATTATTTTTTACTGAAAAACACACAAACGACCTTACTTGGTCATATCAAAGACCCACTTAGTTCAGAATCCTGTTCCTCACAAAGGCTCTAAGTGTATAAGTAAGAAAGGCCAATACTGGGGCAAGCAAATGTGCATGTTCTCCTTCACAGTCTCTAAGTTGCCAGCTGTTTTCAGCTCAGAGAACTTCAGGAGCCTGATATAGTTCTGTGAACTTCATTAACTGCATAAACTTCAATATATTTTTCCTCATACACTTTGCAGTCATCCTCTGCCACTGCATCAGCTTTTAACAACTGCAACAGCTTTTGCCAATGAGCTTCACAAGCTGCATGAAGAGCCAAGTACTTTTCTTGTTGTAGTTTTTTGAATCTGCCTCCTGCTAGGTACATTTGATGGATTTTGAGCCCTGAACTAGAGCACAGAGGGAATGATTCTTAACTATTCACTCTGTGTAAGGCATGACTTCACAGGTATCAGTATCTCACCCTCCATCTTCATCAAGCGTTTGTCTCTTTTTCAGACTGACTACTCAGCATGCTCAGTCATTTTAAATACTGACTGACCTTCTTTGTAGCCCATCTCCATAACTTTTATAGCTCTCTCCTATCCTTTTTGAGATGAAGGGAAGGGACTAGACTCACACAACATATTTAGGCTGTGGCTTGCACAGTGGTTTTTCAGAATAATTGGTAATATTTGATTTTCTTTGCTAGCTGCTACTAACATTTCCCCAGGGCTACATGTCACAAGCTTAAGATCTTGCCCTCCAGTAACAGCACTCAGCTCAGAACCCATTGTTTCATAAACAAAATTAGAACTATTTTATCCCCATATACATTTACACCACTTTATCCATTAGGTTACTTCAACCATTCCAGTACATAGAGATGCATTTTTATATAGTTCTCTAATTGTTTAAAGTCCTGCATTTCACTGTCCAGGACATACATATCTTTTAGGAAACACCTACATTTTTCCATCACAGCATTCACTCCGAATTTTTTCTCTAACTATAACATGCAATCATTGTACAACTATGAAGAATGGGATCATGTGTATCCTATCACCTCAAAGGAGCATAAGGGACCAAGAATAGGAAGCATGGCAGTTTATATACAAATTCCCTCCACTAGTAGTTCTCTTAAAAAAAAAAACCCAACAGTGACATTATGACACCTGAATTGACAGTGGATGTCGGTCATGGCAGACAAACTGTAACCAGTTACACCACTCATTTCTATCTTCCCTGAAATCCCAGAAAAACAGAGAAGTTTTGAAAGCTTCTTGTTGTGTAAGACTGCAAACTGTAGCTTCAGGACATTTCAGGTAGTCCTCTTGCAGTTAGGAGTCTCAGCTAAGACAAGTGACTTCAAAAGAGGCCCCTAAGGCACCAAAAAATCTACACTGCACTGTTATGAATACTCCAAGTTCCACCTCATAAACAAAACAATGCTTCGGCGACAGGAGAAATATGTTATAGATGTACTTCTCAAAATCTAGGCACAGAATGAATGAGCAGAATACCTTCCACATGTCCACATAGGGCCAAGACTCATTATTCTGACAGTGCCTGCACTCCTAAGTGAAACACTACCAGCTTTTGATTTGTTCATTCAGTACTTTGAAAACGGAAGCTGAACACTTCCAAGAAAGGGGGAACAAAAGGACTGAAGAAGTCTGAAGCTGAGTTCAGGGAAAAAAATACTCAATGTTTACAGAAGATGAGGATTTCCTCTGAAAACAAGGAAGAAGATCCTCATCCGTCACAGACTATCAGGTTGGAAGGGATTATCCTCCAGGATATTCTGGTCCAGCCTTTCTTGACAACAGCACAAACTAGACAAGGTGGCCCAGGACTTGTCCAGCTGAATCTTGAAACTGCTCAACACTGGGAAATCGAGTACTTCTCTTGTTTGAGTGAACACAGTACAAATGCTAATTCTTCTGAGACATTCACATTACTTAGTATGTTATTACCTTAGACAGCCTGGCCAAATTAGCCTGTTGTTCAAACTCTAACTGGGACTTGGTGAGCTGCAACTGCTCCTTCAGTTTTTCAATCTCATCCTGCAATTTTTCTGTATTTCCTTTCCTCTTCTGTTCTGTTTGAAAGAAACACTGATTTTAAAAAGGTTTGTTGCAATTTCTGGAACTGTAATACTTCCTGCAAATATATTTCTAGTGTTTCAGCAACATCTTCACAAAGTGTGACTTTCTTACACCATTTCCCCTCCCACTACCATGATTCTCCATAGATGATTTTAAATATATACATTCTCTGGACTGCTAACTTACCCTCAAATACTTGTACCAGTGACATGTGAAATGAAATATTTACATGAAAAAGTATTCTGTAATTTCAAAGGACTAAGCAACACAGGCTCGTAAAAAGGATATATGAGGGGAAAAAAGTGAAGTGCAGTTATTCAATCTCTTAGTTTAAGTTTATTCTAAATAACTTTTGTAAGGAGCCAAATTTACCAAGGATTTACTTGCCTATCATCTGGGAATCTGAATATTATTTCAGAAATAACTTCATGGGATATTTTCCACAGAGCCATTTCAGGCTAATCCTTTTATACAACAATTACTTCAACTGTTTCTGCAGCATCTTTCACTATCATTTTTATCAAGTGTAAGGTGCACAAGAACTTCTTTCGTCTTTCAATATATTCAGACTTCCTCAGCTGCTTATTCAGACCCCTCTCACTCTTGCTGCTGCTTCATTTGCCTGACAAGCTACAGTTGTGACCTCATTAGATTCTTCCTACTTTTTCTCCTCCCAAATGCTCCTTTTTTCCTAACTTGTTTCTAATCACTGTTACTTGTCAATACTTGTTAATCCATAGCAATAAATCATAAGCGTGCAGCCTAGCAGGAAGGAGAGAAATTAGATATGAATGAAAAAAGCTTTGAGAACGTTGTTTTCCAAACTAAACATCTTTTAGTGAAGAGAGAAAAAAGTATGCAAGTTAGTGGAAAAGCAACATTGATTGTCATAGATGAAGTCAGACTGTTCTTAACAGTTTCTCTTCCTCACTACATTATACAGTCAGTTTAGTTCAGGAGAGGCTGATGCTATTCAAACTGATTTCAGGTGGGGTGGACTATTTCTATATTAATAATTATTATATATTTACAAAATTTATTTTCCTTAGTGCTTGTTCATTTTACCTATGCCTTCATAACATACATGCCTAAAGGGAAACTCTGCTTTGAACTGTGCTACTGGCTAAAGCGTTCAACAGGAAAGCTAGTTTGAGAAGATGCTGCAAATATGGCACACAGTTTTTTGTAAACTATTTTCCAGAGATTGAAACATATGTTGCCCAATACATTGTATCAGCCAGTGGCACTTGCATTCTGGGATCTGCCACCTAAAATTGAAAAGCACAAACTTTTCTTCCAAGTTACACAAAATCATGGACAGCACATCCTCACTTTTCTAAACTACCTCTCTCAATATTTTTGATAACATTAAAGTACATACCGATCTCAGACTCTCCTGAGTGACGTCTTTGAATGTGACTTTGTAAAAAGGAATAGGTCATAAAAGCCTTTTCACAAAACGGACACTACAAAAACAAAACAAAACAAAGACAAAAAAGCAAAACAAAAAAAAAAAAACAGTTAAAAGCACATTAGTAAATATCTTTTTGGTAAATACAGTGGTTAAGGTTTTTAACAGGTTATTACATTTTGTTCATATGTAAAAACAAGGTAACTTTAACAAATTCCATCTCACAAGAACAAAAACTCTCATGGTACCCAAAGGTAAAGTAACAGTACACAATTCTCTAAGAAAAGGTATGTGGCTACATTAGTATGCTACCTAGAATCCTTCTGAAGCACGAAGTTGTTTCAATTACTGATTCTATAATCTACCTACTAGTTTTGAATATAAATCTGAAATAAAATTTGGATCCCACCCTTCTTGAAATATCCTTTTTGTTCACCTTCAACTTATGTTCAGAATATATTAAAAATAGATGGGTAGTACAGGGACAGAAGCTACATCTACAAACTCTCCAATATAGTTTAAGACTATGCATGAGGGCCAGTAATCATTTTAGGATCATTCTCTACCTCTATCTCACACTTTTTTTCAAATAAATACATTTTAACAAAGCACAGACACTCAAAAAAAGTAATTTTTACTTATCAGTGTGATATGACAGTAAGAAACCAGCTTAAGAGGTTCAAGATCTTGTCACCATAATCAATGACAGAAGGAGGATCTGGGGAACTACAGGCTTTTCAGTCTGACCTTGGTGCCTGGCAATGTTCTGGAACAGATCATCTCCAGTGTGATCACATACAGGACAACCAAGTGATCAGACCCAGACAACATGGGTTTAGGAAAGGCAGCTCAGCTCCCGCCCAACTAACCTGATCCTTTTATTACCAGGTGACCTACCTAGTGGGTGAGGGAAAGGCTGTGGGTATTGCCTACCTGGACTTCAGCAAAGTCTTCAACACCATCTACCACAGCATTCTCCTGGAAAAGCTGGCAGCTTATGGCTTGGGGAGGTACACTCTTCTCTGGGTTAAGAACTGTCTGCATGACAGGCCCAGAGATTGTGGTGGTGTCACATCCAGTTGGCATTTGATCACTAGTCATGTCCACAGGGATCAGTGATGGGACAGCCCAGTTTATTGTGTTTACTGATGATTTGGATGAGGGGATTGAGTGTACCCTCAGTAAATTTGCAGACACAACCAATTGAACAGGAATGCTGATCTGATGGAGGGTAGGAAGGCTCTGCAGAAGGATCTGGACAGGATGGATTGACGGACAGAGGCCAACTTTATGAGGTACAGCAAGAACAAGCACCAGGTCCTTCACTTCAGCCACAAAACCCCCTTCAGCATTAGAGGCTTGGGGCAGTGTTTATAAAGCTGCTCAGTGGCAAAAGACCAAGGGGTGTTGGTCAACAGCTGCTGAACATGAGCCAGTGTGTGTGCCCAGGTGGCCAAGAAGACCAGTGTCATCCTGGCTTGTATCAGCAGTACTGTGGCCAGCAGGACCAGAGCATTGATTGTCCCTCCATACTCATACCTCAAATCCTGTGTCCAGTTCTGGGCCCCTCACTACAAGAAGGACATTGACATGCTGGAGTGTGTCCAGAGAAGAGCAATGGAACTGGTGAAAGGTCTGATGGGTAAGACCTACGAGGAGCAGATGAGGGGGCTGGGAGTGTTTAGCCTGCAGAAAAGGAGGCGCAGGGGAGACCTTATCCCTCTACAACTGCCTGAAAGGAGGCTGCAATTACACAGGGGTCAGCCTCTTCTCCCAGGAAACAAATGACAGGACAAGAGGACTTAACCTCAAGCTGTGACAAGGAAGGTTCAGGTTGGACATCGGAAGGAATTTCTTCATTAAAAGGGTGGTTAAACATTGGGACGGACTGCCAAGGGAGGTGGTGGAGTCACCATCCCTGGAGGTGTTCAAGAAATAAATGAACGCTGCATTTCATGCCATGGTCTAGTTGACAAGATGTTGATCAGTCAAAGGTTGGACTTGATGATCTCAGAGGTCTTTTCCAAGCTAAATGACCCTGTGATTATGTGAAATTCCCAGATTTCATTTTATATTTAAAGTGCTGCCACTGGTAGCTGGGTATCCTATGAAACACACTTTTCAGCAAACACTAAAGCCATGAATAATTACGACAAATTTTGTTGAGCAAATTCAAGACCTAATATAAAACCAAAATAAAGTGATATAGTATGGCAGCAAGGCATTGCTGCCAACCAAGAGGGAGCTTACAGTGTAACAGATTGCACATGATTTATAGAATTAAATTGGCTGTGAAATAATGTTATTCATTCAAGCACAAACGTCATGTCAGTTTGACTTGCTGGTAGTGAAAGAAAGCTCTTACTGCAGTAGACAGGATTAACATGGAATATTTAGGTTTTGAAATATGCAACACTTTTCTTGCAACTACTTTTCACAGTGTTAACCGCAACATGCATTTTATGCCTACATTGTACACGCGAATGTAAGATTTCTGAACAAAGTATCAAAAAAATGGAAAGCATTATTTAAAATTAAATTTTTATTACTCACATGAGGGTACTGACGAACAAGCCTTAAATTAATGACTTGTAGGTATCAGTACCATTTTATAGTAGCATTTCATGGATAAACTTATATTGGTGTTGGACTAAAGGCATTACATCTGAATTCCAAAATTGGCTGTAAAGGGCACCTCTGCTAAAAAACATTTGTATTATTTGTAAACAAATAACAGACTTATTTGTAAAACATCCAAGACTTTGAGGGCAAGGAATCTGAACTACCCCCTCAGGAACACCAGTTATTACCCCTATTATCTGGCAATGCAGATCATGGCACAGATAAATATCATACAGTTACTGTTTATTGCTCACACTGCTACCCTGCATTTACAAACACTAGGAAGAGTTCAATCTGTCTCTGGCATTCAAACTCAGAATCCTGAAAACACTGTAGGAACTTCAGGTATTGTTCAACATCATTCCTTGAACTCATTTTTCTCCTGTGAACTTAAATAACTACTAGAGAAAATAAATTATTAACAGGAAAGAAAGAAAGAGGGGAGATCAAAAGTTTATATGAAATCAAATTACAAATGCAAAATAGATTTCTATCTCTGTTTTACTGCAAATGCCATTGAACAGATTAGCAATGAGACAAGTTCACTACTATGTTTTTCAGCTTCCACAGAGACAGTTGCACACTACAAATATTTCTGGAAAACTTGATAATATTTGGCAATCACAGTATGATAATTATTTAAGTTTACACATAAAATGATACATGCAATCAGTTTTCTTTTGCAACACAGGGCAAACTGCTTTGTGAGTTGCATAAAGGTTTTTATTTTTTTAAATAATACCATATCAGCAGCTTGTCCTTGAGACTAATATTTGAATGCATGAACCTTGCCTCAGGTATAGTTCTACTCTTGGGGCATAAGGTACCTTTTTCCTTACAGAAACACTTGAGGCAACTTAGCTGATGTCTTAAACATTGACCTTTGTCTGTAACTTTAAACATACTAGCCTGAAATCATGTCAAGTCTTTGTGCAGTGTACACTTTAGACTTCAGATTACATCTGAAGCTGAAATTTGCATTTGTGAAACCTGAAAATGCTGATGCTGAAAAAATACTTAAATCAAACTACCACACCATTGTAGTGAGACAAAAAAATCCCTCCCAATAAAAACAGAGTGCCATGACACTGTCACTCAGAACAGCTATGTACTAAGGTTCTTAAGGAAGACCCTTTGGGAACAGATTGTTGTGGAATCAGAGCTGAGCTAACTCACTGAACCCCTTTACCATCTTGCCTGAGTCACCTCTGAGTCATACACACAAGCAGAAACTTTGTGAAACTGGAGAACATCAGTGCAGGACAGTGACTTCTCACAGATCGCACATTACTGCTCAGCATCAGTTCTGATGCATTTTCTCCATTTGTTTTCTGACCATGCAGTTGACAGGCAAGGAAAGACAGCAACACAACAAAGTAGTAACATGTTAATCACTTTTTTTGTATATGTATCTGACATTTCAGATGCATCTAAAGTGAATTCAAGAGTAAAGAGCACGTGCTAGTAAAAAGAGGATTTGTTAAAGATGATGTAGCACTCTCCCAAGAGTCTCTGAAACACAGATGGAAAACAAGTGCCAGCAATGCACTTCCTTTTGCAAGGTCACTGGTCCTTGCAGTTCCAGCCTTTCACCCAGCAAGCAACTGCATCCCAGCAGAGTGGGGCTGCCCTGCTGCCCATCCCAGCAGGCTCAGAGCTGACAAGGTGTGTGTGACTGGGCCCCCTGGCCCTCTCCTCTCACCTGGTGGTAGTTCGCTCGTGCCTCCAGCATCATCTGCTGGGTGCTGATCATCTTCTTCCTCCGCCTGCATTCTTCCTTGAGCCCCTGGATCTCCTGCAAGCGCTGGGCCACCTCCTTCCCCAACTGGTCACGCTGGGCCTGTGTCTCTCTCAGAGCCTCCTCCAGGCTGCCGAGCTGGGCGCTGAGGTACTCCTGGGAGTGCAGCAGGTACTCGGTGGAGAGCTGTGCCATGCGCAGCAGCTTCAGCAGCAGCGGGTCTGCGGGGCCCTGGCAGTGCGGGCAGCGCTCCTGATCGGCGCTGCAGAAGGTGACATGCTCCAAGTGCGTCTGCAGGACCGCCACGTCCCCATCCCGCGACACCCGTTCCACGTCCACGGTGCTCAGCCGCCGCCAGTCCGGGTTCTCGTGCCGCCCGCGGAACTGGAACGCGGGATACGCCGCCGGCCCCGCGCCGGTCTCGGCCGTCGGCGGGTGGTAGGAGCGCTGGGAGAAGGGCTGCGGGAGAGAGACACGGCTCAGCCCGGGCCGGCACTCCCCGCCCCGCCGCCCGCCCGTCCCGGCGCTCACCATGTCTGGTCTCCGTCCCTGCGGCTCCGCTCGGCGCCGGCGTCCTCCGCGTCGCTATAGCAGCCCCGGCCTGTGCGAGGGGAGGCGGCAGTGACGCCAGGCTGTGCCGCCTCCCGCCCGCCCCGCCGCTCCCCGCCGCTCCCCGCCCTTTCGGCTCTATGCTCGGCACAAATCCCGTCCTTCTCCCTCCCGGCATCCTCCTCCCGCGACGCCTCCGTAGCTCCTGGCGGCGCCGCCCTGAGGCGCTTTCTCCCGCGGGTCCCGGTGCTCCCGCTGCCCCGCACGCAGCTCATCCTTTACCATCTTCACACGCTATCGCATCAATAAACGTATCCTCGGCTCCGCTCTCACGTTTATGCACCCTTAACACAGCTACACAGCGTACGCTTTCTCTCTCCACATTCCCTTCACTTCTTTGAAGTCTGTACATGCCACCCCACTCGCACGTTCATTGCATCAACGTGCCTTCCCATCCTGTGCCTCGACCGTGCTGCTCCTGACTCAAACCTTTCTCACTCTGCCATGACTTACACTCCTTTAACCCGTGTCGTCCTGTGCCCCCCTCCAGCCTCGCCTACTCAACTTTCCCCCAGATGTGACAACACCTGTCACCTCCCCACCATCAGCATTCACAGGTATGTCGTTTCTCTGTACATCTTCACGCTGCTGCGCCCTCATGTGCCTCAGCTGGTAGCTCTATGCAATCTCTCCAGTGCAACTCCATACCCCTCCCAGTGCCCACACAACAACCTCCTGTCTGGTGCTTTCAAACACCTTCCTCACCTTAATATAGTCACACACTTTGCATGCTGCTTCCACACGCTCTCTTTATTCATCAAATCAATACACCTCTGCCTGGTATCAGCACACACCAGACCCACTCCTGCAACCATACAACCCCACCACATCTGTCGTTCCTGTCTCATTCTACCGATCCCAAACACTTCAGCCCCAAGAAGCACCTCGTGGCTTGCGTACATCACCTACTTTACCATCCACGGCCAAATACTTTTCTTCAATGCAACCAACAACTTCTGCCTATATCCCTGCCCCACCTCAATTCCCAGTGCTCCCCAGTTCGGTGTTTCTCTTGCTCCTGCTCAGTTGCTTCAAACACTGTTTCTAAGCAGCAGCATCCTTCTCCTCCATCATACAAAATTACCCTATTCCCTCACTCATCCTTACCACTCTTTTCCAAAAACTGGCTTTTCCTGTTACTATTTCTTAATATTTCAGTCCCTAGCTATATCTGCTTTACTGCCATGTTCCACATTTATACCTCCCTAACTTTTCAGTCCCTTCTACGCATTTTTCAGTTTCTCATACTCTTGGTCATTCATACATACCTCTCCTAGAACAGTCACACAATATGTGATCATACACTCTATCCCATAGGTTTCTCTACATCATGCATTATAGACTCACAGAGATGTTCTCAAGGGACCTCTGATGATCATCGTCCAGTCCAAATTTCTGCCGCACACTAGTTCACATCACCTGTAGCATTTAAGATGAACAGACAATTCATGACCTCCTTGTACAGCCTGTTGCATGTCTGTGCTCTCTTCCTGATGAAAACATTATTCTTCATATCTCACTGAGTATCTCTTATTACCAAGATTAAAGAATGGTTTGAATATTTTTGCTGCAATTATTCAAGTAACTGTAGGCCACTACTAGAGCGTCCCTTTGCCTTCACCACTCTAAACAAGCCCAGCTCCCTCAACTTCTTCTCATAGGTCATGAAGATTCTAACCGTATTGTTAGGCCTCCTCTGTCCCCTTTCAGCTCCTCCACATCATTCATACTCCCCCTTAGTATTTCCCTCCATTTGCCTCCTAGGAATTTGTAATGAAGCTCACGCACTTTTAACATCCTTCTATCCAATATAAACATGTCTACCAGCGATCTCAATATAGAACTACTTCCACAAAAATAGCAATGCTGCTACATGCACCAACACAAGCACCCTCACAAATTACAAGCTCTTAGTTTTATGTAGATTTCTATGTTGGTTGTTGGTTTTTGGACCTTGAACCTTAAGCCTACTGGTCCCACTTATACCCAAGGTTCAGTTCCATTTAGATTCTTCCATCACTTTCCATGCCACTTGTTTTTAATTTAGAAAGATACTGTGTAATGTTTGCAACATTGCAGTCTACTTCTGCAAGGATAACGTTTTTGCCACCTCTTTTTCTGCAAACAGGGTCTCCAGCAAATCTTCAAAGAAATCCATTTAACATTTCCTGGTGTATATCAAATACAGATCTTCCTGGTTTACCACTGAACTTTGCATTGCTTTGAGTACCAAAATAAGAAAAAAAACCTGTTAATCTTCTTCAGAGCTATTTCTAATGACAGAAACTCACTTCCATTTAGTGTATAAATACACTTATATTTGTAAGCAGCTAGATCTTTTAAAATGCTCAAATACTGGCTACTGTCCAAAATGTTCATGCCTCAGATTCTTTAAAATGCCTTGAAAAGCAGGTGTTTGAATATTTTTTCTAATCAAGGGAACTTAACTGTTAAGTTACACATAATGAAATCTAACTCCCAAAAATCTAAACCTAGTATATGCTCCATCTATTTGACATAGGAGAAACTTCTTTACATATAAAACATGTGAATTTTGAAAGCTACCACTTTGTGTGTCAAGCAGGAGCCTGAAAAAGCACACATTAAATAAGGGCCTTTCACTGAGAGATGCATGGGTTTAATAAGAAAAAAATAACCAAACGTTATTTAAAGCCAGCAAAGTAAACCATGCCTGAGGGTAGCTTATTCTCTTCAACCAATGTATTTAGTCAGGATTATCCATACAGATTTGCATACTGCTCCAACTAAACCTGCTTTAACTGAACATGACCTTGCAGAGGTACATAATCTACCCATCATATATAATGGTCTTTGTTGGAAGGCACCTTAAAGACCATCTACTTCCAACCAGCTGCCGTGGGCAGGGACACCTCCAAGCAGACCAGGTCACTCAGAGCCCCATCCAACCTGGCCTTGAATGCTGCCAGGGATGGGAGAAGCACCACGAAGTTGAGAAGAGGCACAAGCCGCCCAGGCATCTCAATGGAGATAGAAAAAGTACGGACGGACGGAGGCGGCCCTTTTCGAACTTTTTTCCCTTTTTTTCTTTGCCGGATTTACTCTATTCTGGGAGCTGCGCCCGTGAGTTATTTAGGGTCATCACCCACCCGCCAGGCCCTCTCGATCAGGGGTGGCACCGCCTGCTCCCCCAGCCACCCCTCCCCTCCGGGACGGGCGGCACGGGGGAAAAGCGGCGCTTCCCCGCGGCGGTGTCCGCGGGCCAGGCCCGGACCCGGCGACTGGGGAGGCGGCCCGAGCACGGCCGGGCCTGCGGGAGGCCCTGAGCCGGGCTCCATCTGCCTGCCAAAACCTCCGGCTCCGCTTCGGAGCGCGGCCGCCTCGCCGCTCCCCCCCGCCTCCCCCAGCGGAGAGGCCCCGCCGGGCTCTGCCTCCCGCCACCCTCCTGCACCCGGGGTGGTGGGGAGGGAAGGGAGATCCCTGTGCTCACCTCAGGCTGTAGCTCCGCGGGTCTCGGTGGGGGCTGCAGGGCGTGGAGGGGCGGCGGGGCTGCGGCCGGTCCCGCCCCGGCCGTTACCGGCGGTGCCGCGGCTGCGCCCCCCGGCCTCCGCCGGGCCCGTCCCGCGCCGGCCCCGCTGCCCCGAGGCCGCGGGTGGCGGCTCAGGAGGGGTCGGCGGCCGAGGCAGGCGAGGGCTCCCCCGCTGCCCGCCGACTCTCGCTCCTTGAAAACCTGCCCGGCAGATGTTGATGCCCAGGCGGGATGTCCTTTGTCTTGGTCCGGTCCCGAGCCTCTCCGACCGAGAAGCAGCCTTTTCTGTCCCTTTTTGTAAAATGCAACAAGCTTTGGAAAGGCTGCCTTTGCAAATTCTAGGCACGTTTTACCACGCAGTCACCGAACACGACACGTTTAAACCTGTGGAGCAGCGAACTTCTTAGCAGGATGGGGAGTCGCCGCCGGCGCGGGGCGGGCGGCGCGGCATGGCAGCGGTGGGGCGGGGGCAGGAACCCGCCTGCCCACCGAGGTGGGTAGGGGATCTTGAGGAGCTGCAGGATCCCATCTGCCCGCCGAGCTGGATACGGGATCTTGAGGAGCTGCAGGATTCCATCTGCCCGCCGAGCTGAATAGGGGATCTTGAGGAGCTGCAGGATTCCATCTGCCCGCCGAGCTGGAGCGGAGTCTCGGGATCTGCAGCATCGTGCCTGCTCACCGAGCTGCAAAGGGATTTGTGGGGTTGCAGAAGCCCGCCTGCCTGCCGAGCTGGAGGGAAGCCCGAGGGACCGAGAGCGTAGTGATAATCTCCAATGGGAGGAGGTGTGGATCTTTAATGAGAGTTTCCTGACGTGTGCAGGAAAACACCGTGTTCCAATACAAGGATAAAGCCGGGAGTATGCTTTCCTGCAGGTAGCTTAAACAAAGTAATGTCAGGAGAAGTTGTTATTTTCAATTAAAATATGTATTATATCATGCAGATAGAATCTTTCTATTCATACAGCTACAGATTACATCAGATCCTTCTGATTTTATTCCTCTTCCCTCTCAGGGTTTTGAATTGTGCTTTTCCTTAATAAACGCTGTACAGTCTTTGTGACTACAAGGAAAATTTCAGACTTTGTATTTAATACAAATTATGCTGGCAAATTCACTGATGGAGGTAATCATTAGACATTTACAACACCTAATCTTCATTTAGGAATTCCTTTTGGCCAGGGACACACCACTGTATTTTCTAAAGTAGACAGAATTACTGAGACACCAACTTACCTCACTGAACCATGGAATTCTGTTGCAACAGTGTAGATGTGAGCACATATGCTGTGAACACCAGCTTTAAGAAAAGCGGTAACCATTCAGGTGCTTCAGTTTTTGATGCTCCAAGGGTACCTCAGCATGCTCCAGTCACTAATGGGTGTTCAATCCAGAGGATGAGGCTAGTCTGAAGGAAAACCTGAACATATATCAAAAGTGGACAGTCCTCTGTACTAGTGACTTTTGCTTCTGCAGATCTGTATCTGTTGGGCTACTAAAGCAGGCATTTAGAGGAAGATGAAGATGCTTTATGAAGGCTTTAGTGTGATCAATCTTAATTAAGAGAGGACTTTGAAAACCTGCAGTGTGACAGTTACAGCCTCTGTGGGTGAGGCCTAGAGGCAAATATGCAGTGCAGGTTGATCAGCACTTTATGTGAAAGCACTCAGAGAGCAAGATCCACAAGTGCAGTGTCTTGGCTGCCCAAGAAATTTTATACCCCCTGCCCTTTTAATGCCCTAATGACAGCACCACAGTCTGTTCAGCATGCCCTCTAAGGATCTCTCTTGCTATGAAAGTGGCTTTTATATCGAAGTAAATGCTAATTGTGTGAGAAAATGCTGGAAATAATCTTCAGTTGATGAGGGGAGTGGTATATGAATTGTGCAGAAATGTGAATTTTGGTTGCTTATTCTAGTATCAGTTTAATACAAAATACACAAGCAGGCCTTGTTTGAGGGCTATAACCAAGATTTTTATGCTGAAGGGGTGGCTCTCACTCTGTCACTCTTTCACTCTTGATTTGTTCCAGAGCTTGATTAATCTTTAATTACTAGCTCTAAGTGGTACAGCCTGACTTGGCAAAGGTGGGTATTCTTTAGCACACATTACTACCAGGTTCTATCCTTATATACTTTGGTGACAAAAGTACTCTCCTGAATCAGGTGTGGATTTACTAGGAGAGGACCAAGAGCATTTGCAAGGTATTTGTGAGGCTCATAGAGGGTACCTGCAACTGGAGAACACAAAAATGAGAGTATTCTGATGGTGGGGTGAAATACAATGACAACTTGGCACTGGCTATTTGGGAAATGTCCTGGGTAGCAGGGGTATTGGCCACTGAGGGAGGCTGGGCAGGGGCAGCCAGGCTTGGCAGTGCCCTCAGAGCCCTGATGCAATGTGTTAAGTGGAAAAGTTATTGGTGTATTTTGTGGCATGGAGGAGGACTACACATGAGGAACAAGATGTTTCAATTTGAGAGGCCAGTGGAAAAACTGTCTTGGGAGCTGAGAAATAGACTCTTGAGTAATATCTCTCCTACAGCACTCTCAGAGTGACGCATACAAGTAATCATTAACCCAGGTGGAAAGTTGACTTCACCAGAATGCTGCATGTATAATAATGAGTCTAGCCAGATTCTTAGTTTGTTTAATCTTTTCCTTCCTGCCACTTCCCACCATGGCACATTTTTCAATTTTCAAGCGAGCAGCTGTGTGGTGCTTAGTTGCTAGCTGGGGTTAAACCATGACAAATACCTATAATACTTCCATTTGTTCAAACTTTCCATTGCTCAGTTTACCTGAGGAAATAATTGATGTATTTTTATCACAGGAAAACAAAACAGTTTAAAAAAAGGTAGAATGAACTACTCTCCTGACCCTTTTGTGTCACCTCCTTCATTACAACAAATGCCACCAGCCACAATTAAGCAGTTTAAATAGGCACTGCTCTATGTAGTTTAATAAATTTTATTTTTAATTTTGGATGCTTCAGACTCTTTACAAATTAAATCTTTTTTATCTTCAAATAAAACAGTTTCTCCTAAAAGTTTCTTTTCATGTAACAAGTCTAGCTGGATTTTACTGAGATGGCCAGTTCATTTATCTTCTTTTCTTCCAGACTCAGAGGGAATTCAACTTAACTATATGTCTGCAAAGACACTGAAACCATTGATGCAATTGCAGCAATAGAAATGTCACACAAGCAAGTACTTGGATTTTAACACTTAACTACCTCTAGGTGAATTTTTAATGGCATATGTTAGATATTTATTCTTTTCCTTACAACTACATTGCACTTTTTCACTTATGTGGCTATAATATGCTGCAGTTCAGTGGGTAAAAGAGGATGCTAGATGGCATCACAGACCAATGGCTTACATGAACTTATAAAACTCTGCATGAGGGCTGTTCTGTTGCTAGTCTTGAGAGACGGAAACATCCACTTAGGGAGGAAGAGCACGAAGGTGTCTTCTAGAGCAGGCAGAGGTCAGGCTGCACACATACACGCTCTAAATTCTGATCAAAGTGATTGGAAGTGCGAGCTCTGCTTGTTCAGTGTTTTGGCAGACATAAGATAAAACAAACATTTTCCGTGACAGCACAGCACTTTACCAATGGTATTTTTCAAAGTTTGTAAAATCAGAGATATTCAAGAGAAACAAAACAGTTTGCTGGTATCACAGAGATTTGAAACCTGGAGTTGAGCTGAGAAAAATATATGTAACTAATGATAGGTAAACCAAAACCAGTTTCAGGGAAATCAAAACTAGTTATGCAAATAGACTGAAGTTCAGAAATTGCTTTAATCAAGAAACAGGAAGAGTTCATTAATGTTAACATTTTTAATATATTTTCAAAATAAAATCCTTTATTTCACAAAAAAAAGTCTTAATGTTTGAAGCAAAGTTTTTGACTTTCAGATTAGCATTTTAATTGAAAAGTGTTCTATGCCCTAAAAATAAAATACATGCTTTAATAGAGACATGTTTTTGTAATAAATTATTTTGCTCCCTTGCCCTAGACAAGACCAGACACTCACACTCCCTTTCAAGTCCGATGACAATGATCAGCGTTTCCAAGCACAAGTTTAGAGCATGTAAATAAAGCTTTTGTGCTGAACTGTAGGTTGTAGGAGCCTTTCTGTTTCCATTTACTGCAAAGGAACCTAGAAAAAGGAATTTCCCCACATAGAGGAGCCCTCTCCTGTGAACACCAATCCAAATGTGAAATTCCCAAAATATGTGGCTACATAAACAAGAATCCCATGTTAAGCAGATGTACACTACTATTTAATTTAGCTTCATTATAGCTAAGCTTCAGATAGGGATGTACATAGGTGAGAATAAAAATGAGGTACAAGGACTGAGAGACTTCTTACAAGAGGCAGTCCTGAGAATACTACTTCTGTGTTATCATCCTCTCTCATCTCCTTTATTTTCCTACTAGATTGTGCACACAACACAACAGTCTGCTATATTGCTTCTGTATTGTAACAGTGATTGTCTGCTCAGTTCAGTCTGCTATATTGCTTCTATATTCTTCCTGCACCAGGAAACTTTTGTTAGAGTGGTTTTGGAATTGAGGTTATTAATTAAATTGTATCTACCAATTGCATCATCAGCATGATGGTCCTCCACAGATATAACTATTTCTACCAAATGTCACCTTATTCAGTTCCCAGTCTCTGAAGCCATGAGTAGCTTCATGAGAGATTCCTTGCTAATTGCTGCCCTCTGATGTTACTATATATTACCAGCAGCAACTTGGGAAAAATTCCTTAGTTTGCCATCTTTACAGCACTTTGAACATTGGTGTAGTCTTTGCCATCCACCCTTTCATGCCAGACTCAAGACTTCTGAAGGAACTTGTTTCTGAAACTAGCCTAATTTTTATAAGTCCCTTTGAAAGCATTTTTATATTTCAGCTATATTGCTTTGCAGACCATCACCAGCTGGGCAGGGGAGGTGATTGTCCCACTCTACAGTGGTGTGGCCTCACCTCGAATATTATGTGCAATTTTG